CAGCCGCTACCTCTCCGACCTCTTCACCACGCTGGTGGACCTCAAGTGGCGCTGGAACCTGCTCATTTTCCTGCTGACCTACACGGTGGCCTGGCTGGTGATGGCCTCGATGTGGTGGGGCATCGCCTACCTGCGAGGTGACCTGCACCAGGCGCACGATGACACCTACAGCCCCTGCGTGGCCAACGTGTACAACTTCCCCTCCGCCTTCCTCTTCTTCATAGAGACCGAGGCCACCATCGGTTACGGGCACCGCTACATCACCGAGCGCTGCCCCGAGGGCATCGTGCTTTTCCTCTTCCAGTCGCTGCTGGGCTCCGTGGTCGATGCCTTCCTCATCGGCTGCATGTTCATCAAGATGTCCCAGCCCAAGAAGCGAGCCGAGACGCTCATGTTCAGCCGCGCCGCGGTCATCTCGCAGCGGGACGGGAGGCTCTGCCTCATGTTTCGTGTCGGCAACCTCCGCAACAGCCACATGGTGTCCGCCCAGATCCGCTGCAAGCTGATCAAGGTAAGGGCTGGCACGACAGCGGGTGGCACAGGGCACCCGGGTTGCAGTGGGCAGCGTGAGCAAAGTGCGGCGTTGTGTCCCTGGTGCAGCTGTCGTGGGGCTTCTCCTGTGCAGCCCCTGCTGCTGCTCTGGTGGGCTCTGCCCTGGCCCGGGGAGAGCTGCCCTGGCCCTCGGTGTGTGAGTGAGAGGGGCAGTGCGAAGGACTGTGAAGAAGTCGCAGTGGCTGGCCATAGGAGGAGCCAGGGAAGAGCCAAGCTGGCACAGGGAAAAACAGCCTCATCAGAGATCTCCCAGGGGCATTCCGGTGGCTTGTGAGGCTGGCAGGAAGGATGGATGTGGCAGGATGCAGGATAGCTGCAGGAAGGGTACTAAGGCATGCTCCTTAGCAGGTGATGGCTGGAAAGAAAGAATTGGTTAAGGACAAATATCAGCCTTGACCTCCTCTTCCCCTTGGGGAAACTCGGTGATCTTGAACTTGCAGAGCTTTATCCCAGTGATCCAGCTAGTGACCTCCTAGCATTTCAGAGGGATTGTACAGGTGCTTTAGTGGAAAGACCCTTTGATTGTCATCAGTACCTATTTAATAATCACTGACGACGGTTAGCATAATTCAGAACGCAAGAAAACTGAAACTCAAAGATCATAACAAAACAAATAAATTATAAGGAGACAGTGGAATTTGGCAGGCACGAAGGTCTGGAAGATAAATCAGATGGAGCTGAATGGAAGAAAAACACTGTATAGAATTGCTGAGGTGGAGCAACACAGCAGCTCTCAGCAGCTGTGTCTTGTCATGGGAGCACATCTGGGGAGGACTGTCAGAAGTGGGATCCCAATGATAACATTAATTTCAGAATGTCGTATCTGAGTGTTATAAATGTTCATACTCTACCTGGTAACCCACTCTTTGGAGCAACTGTCTTTTTTAATAATCTGCAGAAATAAACATGAAGCAGTAGGTGATGGAGCAGTGGTAAATATGGAAGGCTGTTTTCCTTCTGTTCTGGGCACAACACTTGACTGAGATGTTAATTTTTCTTGGTGCAGAATACCATTTAAAATGGGGAATCTACTAAGATTCAAAAAAATGTTGGATATATATGGGAACAAGCTGTCAGGAGTTACACTGGAGGAATTTTTGTAGGAATTGGAAAGCTAGCTAAACCATGTTTTTTGTTGCTCTCTAACTTCAAAATTAGCAGAAAGCCTCCTCTCAAGCTGGAATGCAAGTCAAAGTGGAATAAAAGCAGTGTCATAGTTTTGTTTTTACAGTGATGGTAGCTCATTGTAAATTCTTTTTGAAATAAGACACTGAATATACAAAGTGTGCTTTCTGCTGACAATCTATTGCTACACAATGCTGATATGCAAATGATTGGGACAGAAAACTCAGGGACATTGATGGATCTGCTTGACCAATTTCTCTTAGGATAGCCAGCTTAGGATAGGCTAGACAATGAATCAGTGAGCAGTTCTTGATTTTTTTTTTTGTACAGTTGTCATGCCCATGACTTGTCTTAAAGCTGCTTTGCAACCTTTGGCAAATATAAGCTATGAACAGTGGAAAAATTAAAAGTGAATGTGCACCAGCTGCCCCCTCAGTCCTCACTGCAAGGTGTGGTATTAGTTCCTGTGGCTTTCTGTAAATCCTCCTCGTTTTGTGAAAGTGCCTGTTGAACTGGACACATCATTCTAGCAGTCAACAGTGGCTGTTCAAGTGTCTTATCACACTTTTGTCCTTGAGATAGGAGATGTTTTTAGTAGTGAATGTAGTGTTTTGGTTGGACCAATGGAGCTCTTTACCCTTTGTAAATAAAGTACACCAACCTGAGTCTGTCTGAATGGCATTTACTGACAGTGTGATGTATGCCCTAAGATATTCAGGAGATTGCAGTGGTGCCACCACTGTCACCACACTGTGCTGGCTTTTCTTTGTGTCCAGGGACTGTGCAGCAGCACAGGGTAGTGATGTCGTGCAAAAGTCTGGAGCTCTTTTTAGGCTGGGTCGTGGTGAGTTTGGAGAACAGTTACAAAACTAACTGTGTGTGTCTCAGCAAAAACTTCTCCAGAAACCTGAGTCTTTCTAATTTACATCGAGTACTGTAGAAGAAGGAAAAAGCAAAATTCTGGGGTGAGAAACAGTAAAAAGCTGTTTGAACTGGCTGCTGAAAACCCTGCAGTTTCAGATCGTGGTCTTTTCAGTGTCACAGTGAGCTTTATTTTTCTGCCTCTTGGTTTCTGGACCTTACTCATGTGCCTCAGGCAGTGTGGTGATCAGTATTGATTTTTTAAAACTTAATTACGCCAGCTATTCTTATCTTATGTTGATGGGATTACAGGTGTGATTGATAAACATGATGGTGTTGGAGTGTAAAGTGCTCTGTGTAGTGTTTCAGATGGTTTTGATTCAGAAAGCTGAGGACTGTAAAATCATCATAGCCTGTTTTCAACATGTGCTAACAATAGTATTAAAAATACTTCTTGCAAGCTGATAGCCCAAGTGTGGAGCTGAAGCCCAGATAGGTGAGATGATTCCTCTCAAATGCCAGTACTGAAAATACCCTAGTACTGTTTGGCAGATGACCACATGCCACTTTAGCATTTTCCAGATTCCTGAGTTTCTCTACAATGTACTACAATATTAAGCTCGATGGTGCTGCATCTTTTGCATCCCAGTTTTTTTATACTCCAATGCTTAATGAGCCCACCTGGGTATCAAAACATAATTATGCGAGTTCTCTAAGGAGTGAAGTGACAGAGGGTTAATAAAAATAAAACTGCATCATGTCCAGTTAAAGGAGAATGTGCATAAACAACAGGGTTTAGAAAAGCAATAAGAATGAATACAGGATAGGAGTGAAGATTTGAAGGACATAAGGTGTTTGTTCACTAAAACAAAGTGATGATGCAGTGGAAGTGTGCCTGGTAATAAAAAACAAAACAAAGATCCAGTGGCAGAAAGTTAAAGACACGGGAGTCTTTTTTTTTTTTTTAGACATGAAGAACTTAACCTTTGGAGAAATTCATCTAAACCTTTAGATTCTCTACCTCTGACCACATTTAAAATGCAAGCTGGGGCATTTCTAAGTAATTGTGCCCTTGTTCAAGCATTGTATTGATCTGCGAAATTTGCTTGGCTTTGTGTTATATGAGTCAAAATAAAGAATCACAAGTGTTCCTTCCAGACTTCTTGCTGACAGTTTATAGTCCTCTGCCTTGTTTTGTGATCCTTTGAGTAAAGCTGTGTATGTGCAACAAAGGTCACTGGCTGGGAGCCTGACATATTGGGGCTATTAAGCTCTCTTCATTCAGGTTAATTGCTTTTTTATTTAACAAAGTTTCTTTTAAAAATTCTCCATGGCCTGCATAAATCAATCCTGTGTGTAAGATACTGAATACCTCAAACACAACCTTTTGCTTTCTCCCAGATCTGTTACCTCTAATCATCCTCGCTGGATTTGTTTGCTTTTGAATGGATTTGATCGAAGACTCTTCCACAGAGAAAAATGGTTTGTAGATCAAACAAAGTTCTTAAGTCAGTCAGGCAGCAGTTTTTGTGCAAATAGGCACATTTTTTGTCCAGGTAGATGTATTTGATAAAACTTTGGGACAGTTTGAGGTTTTAGATGTTGGTTCTTGCAGCTCATGTCGAGCCTTGTTACCGTGGAGCAAAGAGCAAAGATCATGCACAGCCAAGGAATTTGGGCACCCATGGAAGGAGCAGCAGCCAGGCAACAAAGCAGGGGTGTAGTTCTGCAGCTTGGTTCTGCAGGTTGTCTCAGGAAAAGAGATGTTTTAGCAATAGTTTGGTTATACCTTTGCCCATAACAGAGACTGTCACGACCGGTATGTGTAGTGGTTCTGATCATTTTTATTTCATAGCATTGTCCTTTATGTTTCAAATCACAACTAATCTGTGAGAATGCTTTTACGAGAAACCAGCTGATGTTTTCTCTGTCTTCATCAGCAGTGGAGAAACTGGCTCTTGTCCTCTTGTGTAAGGGAGAACTTGGTTATTTAGTTAGGAATTTTTTTTTTTCCTTAGCAGAAAAACAAACACACTGCACATAAATGAAATCGTGCATTGTAATTAATATTCTGGCAGCTTCCTAACTGGTTATGTAATCACCAGTAAATATCAGGCAGTTATAACATCAGCATTTTTAAGATACATGTGGAGTGGAAGGACAATATGAAGATACACTAGTTGGTTAGGGAGTGTTTTTAAAGACTAGTAAAATAATACTAATTGGATTTAAGTTGATGGCAGAACTGCTACCTTTGACATGACCTCAAGGAATGGTGTTTCCAAGCAGTGGAACCAATACATTTGTCAATATGAATGCAACACCATTAAATTTATTTAGTAGATACAGAATAGTCTACCATTTATAATCAGTACTCGTCTTCCTTAAGAGTTAAGTGCTTTTTAATCAAATAATAAGCAGGAAGGATTTTAAAGAGGTTTTGTGTTGGCTGTGCAAAGCTTCTAATTTTAATGGGCAGTTTCCACCAGAGACCTTCAGAGACTGAGCTGAGGAGCTGCCTGGCCAACTGATGTCATTTTTAGTTATACTTTGAACACCAAGAAAATTTGGAGGGAACACTAAGGGGTGGAGGGAAGTTATCATATCAGTGTTTTTATTGGACCCATGAAATGATGGGAAGACAAATGGGGCACTTAAGTTAATAATATTATAAGTTCATTATTAAGGTCAGCTTAGAGTAGGTGGTACATGCAAATTGGCAAGGGATGACTGCATCATCAGCATCAGTTCAGGTGGTTTTGTGGAAACATCACTTACCAGACATATTGTACCATTGCCATGTTTACCTTTGAGTTAGTACATCATATGCCATCTGCCAAACAAAAGTCAGTAACATACAAAAATAATGGAACATGAATTCAAGCAACAGATTCAAATGTGCTCAGCTTGCAGATTTTATTTTTGATAACAGGACCTTTTGCTGCAGGATATTCCTGTTGAACATCCATTGCAAGGCCTGTAGTGTGGCACATGACATTTTTGTTGAAGTATATACACACATATATAACTCATGGTAAAGTTTGTAGATGGTGATGAATCCTAGGGCACAATAAGAAGAGTCAAAATTGTTCTTACACAGCAGCCTTGTAGTATTTAGCATTACTTGTATTCCATTATGAAGAGCCCAGAGCTAATATATGTAGATGATAATGTCATGGAAGAGGCAGGTTTAAACTTCATTGCACTGATTTCATGTTTTGCCTCACGTGGTGATTACTAAATCATCTTTTTATCTTTAGTCCAGGCAGACACCGGAGGGAGAGTTTCTGCCACTAGACCAGTGTGAACTGGATGTTGGATTTGGAACTGGAGCCGACCAGCTGTTTTTAGTTTCCCCTTTAACCATCTGTCATGAAATTACCTCAGAGAGCCCCTTTTTCTGCCTCTCACAAAGATCACTGAGAAGTGAGCAATTTGAAATAGTTGTCATCCTCGAAGGAATCGTTGAGACCACGGGTAAGATTTAGAATAATACCCATACTCTAATTTTTAGTCTTTTCTTTTTTGTCCTGATATTTTTAGCAAGGCAGCTGTTAGTCCTGGATGCTTCAGAATATCCTGCCATATGCTGCAGAGCTTCAGTGGCCTGTTCCAGTGAATAGGAGACCTCTCTCCCCCACAGGGCTCTGCATTCCCGATTCCCAGATTGGCCAGTACATCCAAGAAGAGACACAGGCTCCTGATTTAAGGACCACCACTCTGAAAGAAAGTTGCCAGTGCTGCAAAATCTCTTTTCTGTGTAGCTTGCATTAAATTGAATGCAGAATAAGGAGTCCAGTTTTACAGCACAAATACAGACCTTGTCAGCCACAAAGATTGTAGGTACATATGATTATCAACAAATACGGGCAGGGCTTTTTTTTTTTTTTCCATTTGAGTATGGTGTTGTCCAGATGACAGCTGACTTTGTGGCCTTGTCTTTTGAGAACTTAATTGTTTTATGAATGCTGTGAAAACATGTTCTAGTTATATAAGAAGCTCTGCATCAAGGATCTGTGCACGTTGTTGAAGTCCAAATCATCAGTATTCTGATCTTCCTCTGCTGCCTTCTGAGGATTTGTTAAGCTTTGGTTAATCACAGTGCATTTTCATCCTTTCTGCATTTACAGTTGCATGGAAGATAGCTTCAGTGTAGCCTAGCCTACAGAAGGAATGGAATGTTACATTTTTCATTTAGCTTTAGCTCCCCCCACACCTGATCCTCACCAGAGAACTCTGGAAGCCTCTGCCAAGCAATAGTTCTTTCTCCCAAGGTGACTTCCAAGGAACAGTATTACAAACTCTGTCAAGATTGAGAGAATTGGGATTGTTCAGCCTGGAAAAGAGAAGCTCTGGGGTGACCTAATTGTGGCCTTCCAGTACCTGAAGAGAACTTACAGGAAAGATGGGGCAAGAGCATTTAAAGGACAAGGGAGACTGGGTTAAAATTGAAAGAGAGTAGGTTTAGATTAGATATTAGGAAAAAAGTCTTTACTTTGAGGGTGGCACAGGTTGCCCAGAGAAGCTGTGGCTGCCCCATCCCTGCAAGTGTTCAAGGCCAGGCTGGATGGGGCTCTGAGCAACCTGATCTAGTGGAAGGTGTCCCTGCCCATTCTGAGATTTTATGATACAAGCTGTAAGATTGTTGTTGCTGTCAAGCTGATACTGTTTTAATTTTACATTCTGCTTTTGCTTGGTCTCTAGTCTGCAATATTTAATGCAATATTTGTGTAAGACTCTAGTCAGTGAACTAGAGGCACTCCATTGACATCAGAAGATTGTCCAGGAAAAATCACCCCATTTTATAATCCATAAAATTATTAGTTTACAGGCTACAATTGATTTTTAGCCTTGTATTTTTTGTTGTAGATGCCAGTCTGCTTGCTGACATTAGAATGCCATGCTTTTGTCTCTGTTCCCATAGGAATGACGTGTCAAGCTAGGACCTCGTATACAGAAGATGAAGTCCTTTGGGGTCACAGGTTCCTCCCTGTAATGTCTCTGGAAAATGGTTTTTTCCGTGTTGATTATTCTCAGTTTCATGCTACATTTGAAGTGCCCACTCCTCCTTACAGTGTTAAAGAGCAAGAAGAAAAGCTGTCCCTGTCATCTCCTTTCAGTAGTCCCGTCGATAATAACAAAACCAGAGGAGAACAGGTTTGTCTGCTTGACTGTGTTGATATTGCAGGAGAGAAGGACAAACTCCCTTTCAAACTTCAGAAGATTAGCTCAGGAAAGGAAAGCCTTCCACAAAGAGCCCTGAGAATGAGTTCCAGCAACACAGAGAAGACTTTCAGTACTGGAGATCTCCTGAAAATTCAAGAAATAAGTCCCAGCTCTGAGGGTGAAGACAGTGATGACAGGATGCAGCTGAAAGCCTCAAAAATAAGTGCTGAGGCTTTGACTCAGTCTGCCAGTGATCTCGAGTTACACAGGATCTCTCCAAGTACAGGTGCTCTGGAGGTGAAATTGGAAGATAATTTACCTGCCAAACTTTGAAAAATGAACTCTGATTGCCTCTCTTAAGAGCTGAAGAAACAGGAGTTGCTGCTGATAAACTGCATTTAACTGAGACTGCTGATCTGAGAAAGTTGTTTTACAGGAAAGTCATAATTTGGTTTTGCCACTTTCAGGAAGAATGATCCTTTTTGCATAATTGTTCTGTACAGATCCAATTTAGGTAACATAATAGGACTTTGAGGAGGCAGTAAGATTAAACTGTCATGCCAAAGAGATCCCTGCCCTAGTGATGTTTATCAGCATGCTCACTGCACATCTACATTGTCTTCTGTGTATGCAGATGCTTTTTCATGAAGCAAGGATCAGATCTTTAAGTCACAGGGGGTGTAACACCAGCTGAAACGTGGTTTTGTGCAGCTCAGATCTTGGACTGTTCCTGAAGTATAAAACAACAGAACACAGGAAAAATCTGTGATGCTGCTTGGTCACAGTCCAGTTCTCTCTGAGGGACCCCTTTGGAAAGTGGCCTTCCTGTGACACCTGGAGACTGCATCCCTCATCAGTGATCTCCTTCTGTGCTCCCAGTGTCTCATTCATTGCCAGGCAGGTAAAGGAAGCAGTTTGCAATAACCATTTGGGTCATTTGACTCTCATAAACGTGTTCAGAACTAGACCTCAGCATTTGATTAGGTGGATCACATGTTGAATTTTAACAACCATATCACCAGTCACTGTGAAGGGAACCTGAGGTCAGTAGCTCAACTTAATGGTGTGTCTCATACTGCAACTAAATGAAATTTTAGTTTGAAGACCTTGTAATCAAATAAAACCAAAATGCTCTATAATGCTCAGTCATTACACGTTCTCAGAGTTTTACTAATGAATGGTAGTGTCATGTTGATAATGTTTGTTACATTTGCCTTCTCCATTTGTGTGTGATTCTCAATAATTTTGTAGATTTGACATTTATTACTATTCAGCTCAGTCCACTTCAGCCTGTGAAAAAAGTTGGGTTTTTTTTCCTGGTTGCTAGTGAGTAAGCATAATCCAAACTTGCTGTTTTGTAAACTGCAGTGTTCAGTAGCTCAGCATATAGGGTGTTTATCACCAAAGCACTAGCACAGCCCTCTCCAACAGAAGGATCAAATTCTGCTCTTGTTACATGGACAGAATTCAATCAAATTTAAAAGGGGTGGCAGTGGCCACTTTGATTGGCAAGGCATTCCTTGATGGCAAAGTGATATATCCAAGCTGGGAATGACTTGGTTTGCATAACTTGCTATTTCTTGCTTTGATCTGTCTACAGTGTGAAACTGGAAAATGGTATTTTATGCAGGGGTCAGATTTGCTCGTTGTTGTTTGTTTTCAACGTGAATTTCAATGTTATGTATGTGCTGAAATCTGTATTTTCATTTATTAACTGTATTTGTATGGAGTACTTAGATGACAACGTGAAGTCTTGAATGATGATGAATCTCCCTGCTCATCAGAACAGCCAGAGTTGGTGTGAAATAAAATTACATCCACCTTGGGTCTCAAGCAGTCTTTACTCCAACGTGCATGTTGACAACAAAGTCACCCCATCCTCAGGCACACCTCCCTCTATTTTGAGGGGAGGAATGTCCAGATGCATCAGAGCAATGAGCTGCTGACCAGGGCAGTTTTCACTCATTTTGTGCCACCTTTGGGGGTGAGTAAAAACAGGGGGTGAGGAAATCTGGGGGGTGATGATGTCATTAGGAGCACCCCAGTATCCTAATGATACTGGGCTCAGGGGGGTTATGAGGAGTCCTTCCAAAAAAGGGAGGTTATAACCCAAAAATGCTTGAAAATACAGGGGGATGTGTGTGTAGAAAACAGCCCTGCCCACACCAGTCACTCACTGGTCCCTGCTCCTTGCCCCACCCACTCCCTGCACCCACTGTCCTGCCCCCTCGGTGACAGATACAGCCCAGGGATGTGCCCCAGAGCCACAGCCTGTCTGGGGACAGCCAGGGCTGGTGTGGATGCTCCCGTGACCTCCACAGGGTGAATCTCAGCAGAGCCAGCAGGTGAGACTGGAGATGTGGCCAAATAAACCCTCCCTGCCCCAGGGGAGGGCAGGAGGCACTGTCACATCAAGGCACAGGCTAAGAGACTAAGAGCAGTGTGTGACCAAGTGCCAGCCCTGTCCCCAGGGCAGGGGACAGCAGTGGAGGACAGGAGCCAGCCCTGAGCAGAGTCCCTTGCTGGGGACAGAGCCTGTCCCACATCACTTGTGGCGCTTTTTCTTCTGTTCTTTGCGTTTCTGAGCCCTCACATCCTTCTTGAGGCGGCTGTCGACGACCTTGAACTGGCCCTTGACGCCGGGGGGGCGGCGCACACGGGGTCCTACCCCCTTCTTGGCCACCAGGTAGGTGACCTGTCGCTTCTCCTTGGCCAGCCCTGCCTTCTTGTAGATGCTGTGGGAGAAGGGTGAAAGGTCAGAGCAAGTCCCAGTGTCCAGCCCAACTCAGCTCCAGCAGTTTGGCTTTTGGCCCTAAAACCAGTATTAGGCCTCACTCATCTCTAGGCTCTGTGCCCAGGCTGGGCTGCCCCTCTTTGTTCTGCCACCCCAGATGCAGCCTGGCTGGGTGACACAGAGCTGTCCCCACGCCATGGCTGCAGGGACACAGCATTGTCAGCCAGCCCAGCACCACGGGAAGGAGCTGGATCTCAGCTTGGCCACTCACCGCCGCAGCTGGGCCACCTTCTCCCGCTCCGAGATGTCCACCGTGTCCACCACGGCCTCCGCCTTCTTCTTCATCTGCTCCATCTTCTTCAGCATCTGTGGGGACAGCGAGGGTGAGGGACAGGGGGTCGGAGGAGGGAGGGAGCACCCGGGAGAGGGATTTGGCCCCACAGCCCCACTCACCCGCCGCTTCTTGCGGGCCTTGGCCTCCGCCACCTTCTTGATGGGGCGGGCGTTGATCTCACGCCAGCGCTGCCGATAGGCCTCCACCGTCTGCCGGTCCACGGGCACCTGCTTGCACCGGTGCTGCTTCTCCTCCTCCGTGAACCACTCGGGCAGCTCCCCCTCCTCCTCGTTGTAGGAGTACCTGGGGAGGCACTCGGGTGACAAGGGGTCCCCACCTCAGTTCACCTGCCCCCTCCTGCAGCCCCCACAGCTCCGGCACCTGTTGAAGGAGTCGTCGATGAGGTCCCGCCGGGCCTTTCTGGAGGTGGCGATGACGGAGCCCAGGGCCAGGCCCTCTGCGTCCAGGACACGGGCTCTTTTCACTGCAGGAGGGACACGTTAAAGCTTGGCCTGGCCCCGCCTCCTGTCCCTAAAGAGGGACCCACAGGGCCTCCCCCTCACCTGGGTTCTCAATGGGCACCACCTCAAAGCCACACGGCTCGACACGGCCCCGCTTCCCCCTCACTGCTGTTGGTGGCCTGTGGAGAGGAGCGTGGTCAGGGCTGGGGTCCTCCTCTCCCAGCTCACCAGGACTCTGGAGCAGGGGAGAAGATCCTGACCCCCCTCCCAGCCCTCACCTCTCCTCGTCACTGCTGCTGTCGTCGTCACTGCTCTGCTCATCCTGTGCTTCACCAGTGCCAGGTGCTGCATCTGTGGCTGGTGGGGGCTCGGCTGGAGCCTCCTCCTGGAGCACCTGCTTCTTCTTCTGCCCTTTCTTTGTTGCTTTGTCTGGGAATAGGAACCACTGGGTGAGAAAGGGCCAAGGGAGACCCCACTGCAGACCATTCCTCTAGAGATCCTGCTCATTAACACTGCACTAATGACAGGTCCTTAACAACACAGGCTGGGAACAGCCTCTGGCCTAGTGGATGGTGTCCTTGCCCATGGCAGGGGTTGGAACTGGATGACCTTTAAGGTTCTTCCAATCCAAACCATTCCATGAAACTGCTCAGGGCAGTATCCCCATTGCGGTTGGATCCAGAGCCCCAGACTGGGCTGTGGGACTGTCCCTCTGTGCCCCCCCAGTGATTCACCTCTCTGGGACTCGCGCTGCCTCTCAGCCAACATCTGGGCCTGCCCCAGCTCCAGGTCCTCATCTGCGTCATCCTCAATGCCAGCAAAGGCGTCCTGGGGTGGGGAGCAGAGGGTCAGACACAGGGCAGCCCTGGGGAGCTGCTGGGGCCGAGGCTGCCCCACCATTTCTGTCCCAGTGGGACTCACCTTCCCAAACCACAGGCTGGTCTGTCGCTCCTCCAGCACTGACTTCTCCTCCAGGGGCACCAGCAGGGGATTCTCCTCTTCCTCCCCTTCTTCCTCTTCTTCTTCCTTCTGCTTAAACTTCGCCCTGTGACAAGGAGCAGCAGGATCAGTGCCCCCAGCCAGGACAGGGTGCCCACTGCCGGATCCTGGAGCTGCTCCAATGGCAGCTCCTGCTCCAGGGAGGCCTCTCCCATTCTCACCTCTTCCCACCCTGCTCCCGCCTCTCCCGCTCCAGCTTGCGCTGACGGGCCTCGATCTCCAGCAGCTCCTCTGGGTCCAGGTCACTGTCCAGGGACACATCATCCTCTTCTTCATGATCTGAGACATAAATGTCATCGTCCCCAGGGCCCATCTCCAGGAGGGTGTCTGCTGAGGCCATGTCCCCCCGGGACAACTCATCCAGCAGCTGCAACACAAGTCAGACAAGGCACAAGTCAGGCACTGTCCCAGCCCTGATGGCCCTGGGGAGCTCCCAGGGGAGCCCAGGCCTCCCCCACCACACACCGGGGTCCTGTGGATGCTGCGCAGGGAGAACATGCTGGTGTCACCATCGTCAGCGATGGACACACCAGGCAGGTCCATCTTCAGCTCCACACGCTCACGCTGCTTCCGCTGCTCCTTCAGGATCTTCTTCTTCTTTCTGAGAGAGGGGAAGGAATGAGGCCACACTGCCACACACACCCCAGAGGCTCATCCACTGCCACAGTGGTGCCACATGTCCCTTGGCAGCACTGGCACCCCCTGTGGAGGGTCCCCAACCCCGGGACAAAGGGGGCCCCCAGCTTCATCTGCTTGGAGGAGAGGAGCCCAAGGCCCCCAGACCCACAAACCACCCACTGTGAGAGGAACAGGCTCTGACAGTCCCACCTCTGTCTCCATGGCTGGAACCCCCCATGCTCCCCCATCTCTCGTCCCTGAGATCTTTTTACCTCTTCAACTCTGCCAGCTCCTTGGCCTTCATCTCTGCCAATGCCAGCTCCACCTCCTCCTCCTCCTTCTCCACCTCATCAGCTGCAGCTTCTGGCACCATCTTCTTCACCTTCTTCTCCTCCTCCTCTCTGCCTTCCTCCTCCTCACCAGAGCTCAGGCTGCCAAAAGGAAGGAGCTCAGAGCAGCTGTGCTGGGCACAGACCCATCCCACCCCTGCTGTTTGCTCCTACTTGATATCCAGCTCCTTTGCCTGCTCCTTCAGCTTTTTGGCCAAAAACCGACGCAGCTTTGTCCTCCAGTTCAGCAGGGCTCTGTGGGGAGGGGGCAAACTGTTAGAGACCCCCCCTAGGCCCAGCTGGTGTGTCTGCCTGTCCCAGTCCCTCCCAGTACCTGAGCTCCTTGCGGCCCAGGACGCGGATGTCCTTGCAGCACTGGCGCAGCTCCTCCGTGGTGGAGCTGTGGTTCTCCAGCTCCCCGTCCCCCAGCGTGATCTGGGCAGGGCACAGGGACAGGGCTGTTAAACCCCAGCCTCCCCTCCATGAGCACAGGGGCACCTGGCTCCATCTTTTCATCCCTCTGTGCTCCAAGGTGCCCCTCGCTTCAGGCACGCACCTCGTTGGCCTTGGAGAGGAAGTCCACGGGGTTGGGAGCCTTGAGGAAGTCCATGAGGGTGAAGCGGTGGTAGAGGGTTGTGTCCCCATCAGCATAACCTTCTGCCTGTGGGGGAAAAGGGGCTGTGGGGGGCCAGGGCAGGGCAGAACCGAGCAGGTGCCACCAGCCCTGAAGGATGGATGGTGTCACCTAACTCGTGTCTGGCTGCAGTGTCCACCTGAACGTGTCTAATGGTTGGATTTGATGACCTCAGAGGTGTTTTCCCACCACAGGGATTCTGTGAGTCCATATGAGCCCACCAGCCCCAACCCAGCAGCTCCACAGCATCTCCCAGTCCCACCCCAGACATGGAGAGCTGACACTCACAGAGGTTTGTGTCAGCTCCATGCCCAGCTGAGACCACCTGACATGAGCTTTACTGTCCTAAAGACATCTCATAGTCACACAAACCCAGTGGCCAACTCTTGTAGGGAGTTTAACTGATGGGTTTAACTGTAGGATTTAATTGACTCCTATCCAGCCTCACAACTTATATCTCCATTTCCCCATTGCTGCACCAACTTCTAGGGCTGAAAACCTCCCCAAAACTGGTTCTCCCACCACTTTGCATCCCCAGATCTTTCATTTTCCTGACCAATTTTGCTCATTACAATCTCTTCAGCCCCAGCCCCATTTGTGTGTTTGGCCCTTGCTCATACCTTTGGTTTCTTCTTGCTGACCAGTTCACTGACAGACTTGGTCTGAACCTCCACCTCCTTGAAAGCATGTTTTGGGTCAAAAAACTTGCTGTCGATTTTATCTGGAGCCTGATAACCTGGGATGGAGGAATCAGAGCCATCAGAGCCCTTCCTCCTGGGATGGAGGGAGCAGAGCCCTTCCTCCTGAGATGGAGGAATCAGAGCCCTTCCTCCTGGGATGGAGGGATCAGAGTCATCAGCAGGTTCCCCCAGCCCCATCCCAGCAGCTGCAGGTCCCCCCAGGTGCTCACCCTGGCACACCACAAAGATCTCAGCAGACTCGTTGCGGGAGGCCTGGGGCTTGGTGGCCTGGACCTTCTGGAAGAACTGCTGGAAGATCCACAGGAGGGGTTGGTAGTCCCGGGAACGGAAAACCTTGGTGATGAACCAGCCGCCCTTGCAGAGGAACTCACAGGCCAGCTTCAGGGCCATGAGGGTCAGGTTGGCTGGAGCAGGAGAGAAGAGGGAGTGAGGGTGTGACCTTCCCTGTGAGGGTGGGGAGGCTCTGGCACAGGTTGCCCAGAGAAGCTGTGGTTGCCCCTGGATCCCTGGAAGTGTCCAAGGCCAGGCTGGACGGGGCTTGGAGCAACCTGGGCCAGTGGAAGATGTCCCTGCCCGTGGCAGGGGGCGGGAAGTGGATGGTCTTTAATGTCCCTTCCAACCCAAACCCTAAAAGCAGCCACTGTCCCCACACTAGTGCCCCCCTGGTGCCCCCAGAGCAGCCCCACCTTGGGAGTAGGCATCGTGCACCCAGCTGGCCCCCACGTTGGGCGCCCCATCGTTCAGCACCACGTCCACCTTCCATGTCTGCAGCTCCTTGCGCAGGGCCTGGGGGACAGGGACACTCAGAACCCCTCCTGGGACCTCCACCTGAGCAGGTGGGGGGGTCATGACCCCCCTGAGCCCCAGGGCAGCAGGGGACACTGGGGGCAGGGACACACCTGGCGGCACTTCTCGGTGGTGATGTCCTCCTGCAGTGTCACCACGTTGGGGATGGGCTTGATGGGGACCAAATCCACTCCTGGGGTGATGAAAGACATCCCGGCCCCTCAAAACCAGGTTCCAGCCCATCCCACGTGGCTGCCCCACCCACCCTCTCCTCCTCCCAGGATCCCCAGTCCTTTCCCCGTCAGTTCCAGGGGCGGTGGTGGATGTCCCTGCCCCTCGTTCCTGCCAGATCCCACCACTCACCAATGATCAGGCTGGACACTGGCATGAATTTGGAAGCCACCTGAAGCCTGGGAAGAGAAGAGAGGAATGAAACCACCCAGGAGAGCCCCCAGCCTTAGACTGTGCTGCTGGGGTTTGGGATTGAGGACAGAGACACAGTGACAGGGCACGCACAGGACACTGTGATAGTGTCCCAGGGCAGCTGGTGGCACCAGGACACAGCCCCGACCCCACTCACCACCCGCCGGGGGCCGCACACAGATCCAGCAGAGCCCGGGCCTTCTGCAGGAACTGGAACTTCCGATTGAGCTGGAGCAGCTTGAAGGAGGAGCGGGAGCGGAACCCTGGGGGGCACCCGGGGGTTACCG